TCACGACTCACTACTCACTATCCACTCCTCGCTACCCACCACCCACTACTCGTTACTCACGATTCCCTAGTCACTATTCCCTCCTACCTACTCGCTACTCACGACTCACTCCTCACTACTCAATACTCACTAATCACTAAGCACTACTCCCTACTCACTACTCACTAATCACGACTCATTACCCACTAGCCACTATCCACTACTCCTACCCACTACTAACTACTCATTGATTGCCCACAAATCACTACTCAATACCCACTACTCGCTACTCGCTACTCTCTACTCCCTACCCAAAACTAACTACACAGTACTCAGTACTCACTACTCGCTACTCCCATACTCGCTACTCAATACTCACTACTCACTCCCCGCTACTCACTCTTCACTACTCACTACTCACTACTTCCTACTCACTAGTCACTACATAGTCTCTAGTCCCTAGTCACAACACACTGGTCACTAGTCACTAGTCACTACTCACTACCCACTGCCCACTACTCACCAATGACTACTGACTACCCACTGTTCGCTACCCACTTATTACTACTCACTGCCCACTACTCCCTACTCCCTACTCCCTACTCACTACTCACTACTCACTACTCACTACTCGCTACTCCCTACTCGTTACTCACTAAGCACTACCCACTACTCACTACTGACTACCCTCTACTCACTACTCACTACTCACTACTCGCTACTCGCCCCTCACTACTCACTACTCGCTACTCCCTACTCGCTACTCAATACTAGCTACCCACTGCCACTACCCCCTACTGTCTATTCACCACTACTCACTACTCACTATTCACTAAGACTACGTACTACTCAGTACTCACTAATGACTACTCACTATTCACTACTGGCTACTCACTACTCACTCCTCACTGCTCACTACTCCCTACACACTACTCACTACTCACGACTCACTACTCACTACGCACTACGCACTACCCACTACTCACTGATCACTACTCACTACCTACTACTCACTGCCCACTACTCACTACCCACTACTCATTACTCCCTACTCCTACTCACTCACTACTCGCCACTCACTACTCACTTATCAGTACACACTACTCACTATTCACTACTCACTACTCCCCACTCCCTACTCCCTACTCCCTACTCGCCACTCACTACCCACTACTCACTACACAATACTCACTACTCACTACGCACTAACTCACTACCCACTACTCATTACTCCCTACTCCCTACTCAGTAGTCACTACTCGCTACTCGCTACTCACTACTCACTACTCACTACTCACTCACCACTCGCCACTCACAACTCACTTATCAGTACACACTACTCACTATTCACTACTCACTACTCCCCACTCCCTACTCCCTACTTCCTACTCGCCACTCAGTACCCACTACTCACTACACAATACTCACTACTCACTACGCACTAACTCACTACTCACTACTCATCACCCCCTACTCGCAACTCCGTACTCCCTACACGAGGTGGGGGGTCCGACCCCCCCCCCCTTTCCAGCGCCAAGGGGGGGAGGGGGGGGGTCCGGACCCGCCCCCCCCCTTGAAGGGAAGGGGGGGGGGAGGGGGGGGGGGGTTCTGGAACCCCCCCCCCCCATTAGTGTATTCAAGGAGACCCACTGGCGCACTTTCAAAATGACCACAGCCACTGCTTCTTCTTTGCGCCGCCTTCCAGCCGGTCGAAACAGAAGCAGTGGTTGTGGTCATTTCCCTGGTGCCAAGCTTAACGAAACACTGTTTTGTTTCTGCTGGCTGGAAGGCGGCCACCAAAGGTAAAGCAGTGGCTGTGGTCGTTTTCACGTCCCGTATTCCCGCCAGCGCGCCCCAGGGACAGCCCCGAAACACTGGCCGCGGGGAAGGGGTCGAGGAGGCCCGTGCCTCGAGAGCAGACCGGTCTGCCCAATGTCCGAGCAGGGCGGACCCCCGCGCCGTGACTGCACATTGTTAAAGGGGCCCTGGGACACACAAATAAATAGACTAAAATGACAGGATTCCCCATCTTTTCCTACATTTTCTGGGTTTTTGTCTTTCCCCCCACCTCCCATAGCTTCCCATATTTTCCCGGGGATCCACGATTACTTGTGTCTGTAATTTTTCCCCTTCTGAACATTGTGGCCGTTTGGGGCCTCTGGGGCCCAGTCTGGCCAGGACTTCAAGGAGACCCCGGCCGTTGCAACGAGGGACGGGTGGCGCCATCAGTAGAAGAAGAAGAAGAAGAAGGAGAAGGAGAAGAAGAAGAAGGGGAAGAAGAAGAAGAAGAAGAAGAAGGAGAAGGAGAAGAAGGAGAAGGAGAAGAAGAAGAAGACGGAGAAGAAGAACCGCACGAACGCAAACTCTCGAAGGTGGGTCTGCACAGAGTTCTTGGATCGGCGCTGGGCCCCCTCTCCCGGGCGGGCGGCGCGCGCCAAGGCGCCGCCAGGGGGGCCAGCGCAATCCCAGAAATCCGCGCAGATCGCCGAAAGTCTGCGCTTATGCAGCTTCTTCTGGTTCGAGGCATCGGCATCTAGTCTCCAGGTGGCGACATCCGACCCCACCATCCTGAATCGATGGGAGGCGGGGGTCGGATTCGGAGTTCGTCACGTGTTCGGCGGATTGCGAACCCTACCCTTGTGGATGCCATTCCAATGGACACTCTAACAATCCTATAAATGAACGAAACATGTGCTTACCATGCTCGAAAATACCTTCAAATGTTGAAACCTGTTTCCTATGTTCAAGACAAGTTCTCAACATTTTCTGGACACCTGGAAATTACTTGGCAACATGCTTCCTCTCGATTGATCGTCGTCCACAGGCATCGTGGATCGGCGAGTGCAGGGGCCGGATTCCGCCGCCGACCCTCTGTCATCTCATCCTTCAGGCACGCGAGGCGGGACACGGAACGTGCTGACAAGGAGCCCTCAACACGGAGATTGACAGCGTACGTTTGGCGCGCTGCGCTTGCAACAACGAGCGTGTTGACACGGACGCTTGGAACACGGCACGTGTTGCGTTTCAACACGGGCGTATAGGGACAGCTGATATCCGATCCTAGAAATGCGACATCCTACTTTTTTCTATACGGGGTCCCCGAAATTCGCACCCTTTTCCCAGGGGCCAATGTTTCATTCCGAGCCGTTCTTTGACGGCCCCGAGGCCTGGCGAGGGCCCCCAGAGGCCGAAAACGGCCAACAGCCTTCCGCCCTGCCTCTTTGCGACGCTATCACGTCTCAGGGGAGCAAACAGTGACAGAAACAGAAGACCTCGAGGTCCGATGGGATTTCTTGAATCGGCGCTGACCCCCCTCACTGGCGCGCGGAGCGCGCCAGGGGCGGCGCCAGGGGCTCCAGCGCCGATCCAAGAAATCCGCGCGGACCTCCGAGTTTGTGTGTTTATGTCACTGTTTGTTCCCCCATGCCTGGGATCTTCCCACCCACCCCTCGGTCCTCCCCTTCCCTTACGTGATGGGCAACGTTAGGGGGGGGGGGCTGGCATAGGGGGGGATGCATCGACCTGGAATCGGCGATACATCACCGACAGATCGGCAATGGGCCTCCGACAGTGAATCCGCACCTCCCTGGGCAGGTTGGGGCTGTCGGGCCCCCATCGGCGATCCGTGGGCGACTGGGGGTCGATGCACCCCCCCCCATGCCTGTCCCCTCCCCTATCTGAAGGGGAACTGGGACACACAAATAAATACACACAAATAAAAATATCCCCCATATTTTCCTATATTTTTTGTTTTTTTGTCTTCCCGCCCACTTCCCATATTTTCCCATATTTTCTGGGAATCGCCGATTAATTGTGTCTGTGTGTTTTTTCCCCTCCTGACTATCGTTGCCCCCGATTGCCGTTCCCTTCCCGCCGCCGACTCTTTGTCTCGACCCTCGGGGCGGTCGCTGCACAGGGCGCCGCGGCCGGGGCGCCGCACGGGCGCCATACGGGGCGTCTCCGCTCGCCGCCCCGCCCCGCCCCACCGCGCGCGCCGGGGGAGGCCGTTGCGGAGAGCTGCGGCGCCCAGCCAGCGCCGCACGGGTCAGACTGCAGGCATGTTTTTTTTCTTGTTTTTTTTGTTTGGTTGAGCACGAAGCTGCCAGCCGCCAACCTTCTTAGATAATCAACTGCTTCAAGGACTAGACTGCAGGCATGTGTGTTTTGGGTTCGTTTGTTGCAGCTTTCAGGTGTGGCCCGGGTGGTCCAAGGGGGGGGAGAGGTGTCGGTCGACAGACTGACCTTTCCGCTCGGGGCGGCCACGCTGAAGGGGCCCTGGGACACAGAAACAAAGACACACAGATAAAAGGATTCCCTATATGTTCCCATGTTTTCTGGCTTTCAAGTCGGGAGCGGCCAAGAGGGGGGTGTCCAAGGGGGGGGGTGCAAATCATGACCGGCGGCACGTGCGCGGCCCAGCGGGGGGGCCAGGGACGTAATGAAACAAGAAGAGGCGCCATGAGATCTGGGGAGACATCATGGCCCCCGCCATGATATCCCCCCCCCCCTAGTCATCACCCCCCTCTTTTCCGCCCCCGACCAAGGGGGGGAGAGGTGTCGGGTCGACAGCCTGACCTGTTCGCTCGGGGCGGCCACGTATGCCCGCGCTCACCAATGATAATTGCGTGCCCCCTGCGGCCCTGCGCAACCGACAGGGTCGGGTTGTCCGCCGGGCGGGGGCGGGCTCGATACAAAATGTGCATTGCATTAGATCCGGGAACATACGGGAACAGACTGGGGGGCCGCATGCGAACCCTACCCCTACCCCGCACG